CATATATATATACTATATATATATATATATATATATTTCATTAAAAATATAATCGGATTTAATTATTAATTAAAATATTGATCAGAAATCTTGATGCGAACATATCAAGGCCCTTCTGCGGTCAAATAGGGCTTTTCGTATGAAATGCGATCACAACCTTGTTGACACTTTATTTGATTGTATTTAATTTACTAATTAATATGCAATGCTACACAGGCCTGTGCATTGTTACTTTTTGACACTGTAGAGACCTCTGCCTGCAAAATATTACGGAAACAATAATGTAGTTCTTTAACTTATTCATATTGACTTTTACGCTGTTGATTTAAACATTAAAGTTAATGACCGAAGCGAAAAGTTTAAGCAAGAGGAAATATTCAATACGACGCAATGACTTACGGAACAAAAACTCCGTGTAAGCCTATCTGGGTTTGGTTACAGGAAGTTGAACCATGGGCACCGCTTAGACCCAAGTGAAGAAGAGCGTAAAAGATACGCAAAAACAATCCGACAATCGGCGGCGTTTGAAAATCACTTAATTAGCTCCATTCTGGCATTGGATTTGACAAAAGAGTTTAAGCATCGCCTCCTTAGCCAAGGCGATTATGTTACGGTGTGTCATGGATCTCTGCGTCTCGGCGTTTTACGAGTCATTTATTTGAGACTATACGAAGTCACGAAGTTTGGGAGTGATGTGAGTTGCTGTGACGGATGTAAGTCCACGGAGGATTTGAGGACATACCCTAGATGTGTGAGAACAGAAGACAAGAATATAAAAGTAGTGAGAACTAAATTCATAGACATATAACTTTATTTTATATATCCATTTCGCTATAGTTAGACGATAAAGAAGACGGAATACAAATAGAGGATGACGATGATGATAATGCTTATAAAAACTGTGATTATTATGATGATTACGAGGAACAACGACAATGATGATAATGATGATGACGAACAAAGAAGATTATGATAATGACGATGAAGTCGATGATGACGATGATGATGACGATGATGTTTATGACAATTGCGATGACGATGATAATGATGAAATGTCGACGACGACGACGACGGTGATAATGATGATGACGTCAACGATGATGATGACAGTAATGATGATGGCGATGAAGATATTGGCGACGGCGATGATGATGATGATGATGATGGTGCTAATGATCATGATACTGGAGATAATGATGATGATGATGATGAAAATGTTAATGATGATAGTGGTGATGGTTATTATGATGATAATAATCAAATAGATGATGGTGATTATAATGATGATGATGAAGACAAAATAAGATTGAAAGAATTGAAAAGAAAGAATAAAAAAGAATAAAATTTGGAGGAGAAATGGGAGGAGGATGAAAGAAGCAAAAAGAAGATGATGACGAGAAATGGATTAGGTAGAAGAAAAAAAAGGACGATAATATGGAGAAGAGAAAGGAAAAGAATTAGCGAATAGAAGGAATAATAAATAAAACGATACACTTATCACTTTAGGCCTATCATTAGAATCGGGGCTTTCTGTAAATAATTGATACTCGGGCCCATAAGAAGGCCTACAGCTTGCAACAAAAGTAGGTCAAATTTTGGAGGTGGATATGGGCAATAATGCAATGAATGAAAAAGCCTGGTAATTGATTTATTGTTTAATAGATTGCAAAATTATGATTGCTTTTAGTAATTAGTAAAACATATTATTTATTTCATTTTTAGATTTCTGAATTAATTAGGCCTATTTACATAATTTTGGTTCGGTTGCTCGAAACTGATATTGAGTTTTGTTTTCGGTTAGATCTGGTTTTTGGGGGTAGAAACCAAAAAATAGATGACAAAGAATTCTGTCTATTCACAATGGCAATCTGTTTAGAGCAAAATGGTACTTAAAACCAATCATAGAGTTATTAATCAACTGCAAATAAGTACTTAATGACACCACCGACGGTTCTATTACAAAAAGCTACACTTATGATGGTAGATCATCAGTAAACTGGGTCCAGGTTAGAAAAAAACAAACACAAGATCATCACCACCAGTGACATTCTGAAGTGCCTCGTGTCTCGATTTTCATATTCGAATGTCTGTTCTGTAATTTTTTGAATTCATGTTTGGACAATAACATACTCTACTTTAATTGATTGAATGGTAGATGTTATATTGAACCTAAATAGACTTAGACTTTTTATTAATAATATATATATATATATAATATACATATATATATATTATATATAGATTATATAGGATTATATAATACGTACTAATACGTGTATATCTATATACATATAAAAGAAAGAGATAAATAATAATATCAGTCCTCAATTAGGAGGACATACATAAACTATATGTACCCTTTAGCTGATGATGGGCTATGCCCGAAACATGTCATACAAGTAAAACTCATACTGAGACAACCTGTTTGACTTTGTTTTTATCTTGTCACCCTGTCTATGCAGCCCACCTAGATTCGTATATATATATATATACATATATATACACATATATATAAACATATATAAACATATATATATGCATATATATATTTATAAACATGTATATATATAAACAAATACATAAATAGTAATAACAGTATAAATAGATAAATAGTAATAACAATATATATAATATATAAACATATATATATATATATACAAATATATATATATATATATATATATATAAACAAATAGATAAATAGTAACAGTACTCAACTAGGAACATGATACTCGCCTTGATAGCGAGAGGTTCTATGTTCGAATCCCGCCAGAGACACTTTTTAATCCAACTTTTCGATGAATGAATCTATTCGATCACTGTTATTATTATTGATTCATCTGTTTATATTGTATTTACAAACCTAATTTGAATAATATATAGGCCTATATATACAGGCGTATATATATATATATAGGCCTATATATAATATATATATATATATGGACGACTCTCAAGATATATTAAAAAGATTAGTTTTAAAAATGAATTAAGGCAATTTAAAAAAAGTTTTACTTAATAGTTATCTAATATCATCTCTTTTAATCTATTTTTGACCAAATTTATCGAATTTATTTTTAAAAGACTATCATATAGCTCATTTTAGATATTTGGTCCGTAATATAAAAATAGATCTGTGACTGGAAGTCAGTCTTGAACATGGTATATACATGTTGTTGTAATTTCTTAGGGTTTTTCATATAGTGTTTTCTTTATTTAATTCAATTAATTTAGTAAAAGTATTTTTAATGTATGTACGGTATGTTTTATGCTCTCCTTGAGAGCTTAACATGATTATCTTCTTATTGTTGGTCTGCTTTTCAATTCAACTCCACTCTTCTCATTAAATATAATTATCCACAATAGGATGGACATGTAGAAGCGATTCGATGTCATTGAAATCTCCGAGCCGGTAAACAGTGCAGGAGGAGCCCATCCATAGCAGGGTTCTTAAACACCTAACAATAGGCAGCGAAATAGGCACCTAATCACTAATGACAGCCACAACTGTCGGGCTAAAGAGATCTAATTATAATCAACTTTGTATGTGAATAGACCATGAATAATTTACAAATAAGTCGGCACTGTTGAATGAATGAAGTAGTAACGATGTTAAAAGCTACCACAGTGCCCTATTGACAACGAATAGAATTAACTATTAAGCTGTAGAAAAGCAATGCGAGATCTGATGAATTCTATCAGACAAGATGTCTAGGCCCTATACAGTAGCAGAAAGAATGTCGGTCTGACCAAACGTAGGCCTACAAGAGGCTAGTTTACGCACCATCGGACATTTATTTTTTATTGTAGGCCTAAATTTTAGGTTAGAGTATGCAATCATTAAGTTTATACCCTTTTAGAATGTAATAATTTATTATGGAAATACGGAAATGTACTCGCTTGAATCGTGCCAAAGTATCCGGATGGTGATTGGCCAAATAACTACAGGGATGGACTTGTTGATTAATAGAACAATCGGTGGTTTCGGTTGCTGTAACCTAATTTTAGTTAGCATGACATCATTAGTTAACATTATTTACATTCATTATTTCGTCCTTATCAGCAGACCAACTATTGGAATGCTGGGTATTACTGCATTAACGTCGGATATTTATCATGTGGCCCTTATTTTTTCATCGATTTACCCACTTTTGTTTTACCCTCCCAACTTTTGGTCGTAATCATCATGACCTTCTTTATTGTCATTTGACTGTTGTGTCATTATAGAATGCTTAAAAATGGTTAATGATAAATTGTTGAAGTAAAACCTCATTTAGCAGCCGCCTTACCCATTCGTGTCCCTTTGTCCTCTCATCGACTCTGATTCTCTCGTCATTAACTAACTGCAGAACACAAGGACCTCTGACACCTTCTTATGAATAGATAGACTGACCGCGAAACTGGAGC